GGGGGGCGCCCCGGGGCCCGGGAGGATGACAGGAAGGGTGTGAGGGACCCCAGGGCCTGACGCCTGCTGGCTGGGCAGGGAGGCCTGGTACGAGGGGAACCTGGGCGCCATGCTGCAGTGTGTGCACCTCTCCCGAGGCCTCCCGCAGACCCCGGGCTCCGCAGGGGACACCCTCATGCAGCTGAAGGTGACGGCGCTGGCCAGCACGCGGCTCTGTGTAAGGGACACGCGGCCTGGTGGGGGGAGGGGCGCGGCTGCCCACCAGGTCCCCCTCACCCCCCTCCCCGCCGCCTCCTTGCAGAAGGAGCTCACCTCATGGGTCGGAAGACCAGGGGCTTCCTCAGAGCTGAGCCCCGAGAGGCTGGCGGACGCCATGGAGTCCGGGCGGGTAAGGACCCCAGCCTGGGGAGATAGGAAGGTTGGTGGGAGATGTGGGAGGCAGAGTTCTGCACTTGGCAGGTATCTGCAAGGGGCTCTTCAAATTGTTTAACCGCTGCTGCTTCTCAGGCTTAGAGCATCCAGAATAAATGTGGCTGAAACACGGGAATGGAGCTGCGGATGCACTATGGGTCATCTGGGGGGCCTTGGGGAGTGGCCCGAGGGCCCGGAGCCTCAGAGGAGTGATAGACACACAGTTCTTACCAGCTAGAAGAAAGTCAATATTTTTTTTAAAGATTTATTTATTTATGCATACAAGAGCTGGGGTACAGGCCAGAGGTGTGGGGGGGAGGGGTGAGAGGATTCACCAGAGACAGAGCGGGGAGCAGAACAGGCAGACTGACGAAATACACTGCTGAGGGGAGCAGCGGGCTAGACAGGAGAGGTCTGCTGCGCCATGTGGGTAGCTCCCTGCCTGGGGATCGAACTTGTGCTGCAGTGGCTGTGGATAGCTTCATAGTGCTGCATCTTAATCCCTTGCGCCACCAGGGAGGCCCCAAACATTTGTAATTTTTGAAACACATCCCAGACACATAGGAGGGAGGGTTGGTGTTTCAGAGCGTGGGCTGTGGAGTATGATGAGTTTCGCCCCTTGTGAGTTTTAGTTGACTCATGCGGGGATGGTGACAGCAACTTCTTTCCTGAGTGGTCTGAAGGATTAAAATCCCTGCTGAGCTGGGATCTGACTTCCAGATGGACAGAGGGACTTCCTCCTCCTCACACCACTTGGCTTCCCCAAACCACGACCTGCTTCTCCTTTTTCATCTCTGTGGGTTCAGTCTCCATCTTTGTTGGGTTTTTTGTTTCTTAAATATGGAGGTTGCCAGGGCTGGTGAGAGGGTACTTTGCTGTCTCATTATTTCCCTGGCAAGGGCCTCCTCCCTGACCCTGACAGCCTCAGTTTCCCCATTTGCAATAGCGATGTCCATGTTTCTGTTTCCTGAGCCCCCCAAACATCTTTCCCTGGACACCCCCAAGACAGTTTACACCTGCTCGCCCCATACCGACACCAGTGTCTCCTTCCCCTCCTTCCTGTTCCCATCTCAGATTCAACCCCCACGCCCCAGCCTTGGTCTTCTGCTCTCTGGTTCCTCAGGACAATTCACGACTGTCCTGTTCATGGCATAGCCCCACCTCTGGCACCTAGACAGGGTCTGAGAAGTACATTGTAAATGAATGAATAGATAAATGGATGGAGCCAGCAATTAATGAAGCCTTTAATAATGGGGAACTTGGGCCTTCCTCGTGGCGCAAGTGCCAGTACTGTGAAGCTATCTGCAGCCACTGCAGCACAAGTTCGATCCCTGGCCAGGGAGCAACCCACATGGCGCAGCAGACCTTTCCTGTCTCACCGCTGCTCCCCTCAGCAGTGTGTTTCAGTCAGTCTGCCAGTTCTGCTCCCTACTCTGTCTCTGGTGAATCCTCTCACCCCCCGCACCTCTGGCCTGCACCCCAGCTCTTGTATGCATAAAAAAATAAATCGTTAGGGCCTCCCCGGTGGCGCAGCGGTTGAGCGCTGGGTTGCGAAGCTGCCCGCAGCCTCTGCAGCACCAGTTGGATCCCCGGCTGCTCCCCGGCCACCCGAGGAGGGTCCCGCATGGCGCGCAGACCTCTCCTGCCGCCCACTGCTCCCCTTAGCAGTGTACCTCGGTCCTTCTGCCTGCTCTGCTCCCCACTCTGGCTCTGGTGAATTCTCTAACCCTCCTGCGCTTCTGACTGTACCCAGTGCATGTATAAATAAATAAAAAATAATAAATCTTTTTAAAAAATAAATAAATAAATAAATCGTTAAATAAAAAAGAGAAACTCGGGAATTAAAACCAATAAATATAAGCATTGTAGGGAAAAATAAGTCATGGGCAGGGGACCAGAAAGCCCCGGGTAGTTGCAGATTTGAACCAGAGAAAACCTCTGCGAAGGTGACAGTGGAACGAGACTGGGCGGAGAGGCAGGAGTGAGGTAGGTGGACTTGGGGGAAGCGTGTTGGAGGCAGAAGGGAGAATCTGCAAAAGCTCTGTGGTCAGCAGGCACCTGACATGGTCAGAGAACAGCAGGAAGGCCAGCGTGGCTGGAGGGCCGTGGGGGAGGCAAGGATGAGAGGACGGAGAGCAGAAGGGTGAGCCTCGGTGGCTGCAATGAGGCCTTTGGCTCCTGATGAGGAAACAGGAGAAGCTGAGAGACTAATAGGCGGTAGCACAGCACTCCCGAGCCAGCTGCTGTTTGAGCACCGTCTATTCAGTAAATCAAGTCACTCCACTCTCCAGACTTTGGTCTCCTCACTGGAAATAATGGAATGACACCTGAGCTTGGAATGACACCTGTCTACAACGCTTCTATTTATTGGTTTTAATTCCCAAGTTCCTCTTTTTTTTTTTTTTAAAGATTTATTGATTTATGCATACAAGAGTTGGGGTGCAGGCCAGAGATGCGGGGGTGAGAAGATTCACCAGAGACAGAGTGGGGAGCAGAACAGGAGGATCTACTGAAATACACTAGAGGTCATTGTGAAGGTGAAATCGTTAGGAGGGTTTATGGAGCCATCTAGTCATAATAATAACCACCCCAATTGCTGGCACTGTCCTGCCCCTCATTATATCCAGGTATTTTTGACACATGAGTCCTTTTTTATGCACACAGCAACTCTGTCAGGTAGGTGCTGCTACTCTCCCCATTCACAGAGGGGGAAATTGAGCCCATGAGGTCATGTGACTTAGCTCAAGCCACGCGGTAAGTGGAGGAGTCAGCACTCAAACCCAGATTCTAGGGTCCTCCCCGCTGTATTACACCCCAAGAAACAACATCCACGTGTAAAGCTACTTCTCTGATTCCTAACAATTTCTAAACTTTTTCCCTTCCTGGTGGTGGGGGATTGGCGAGCTAGGGCCTAGCGGGGTCCAGTAGTCCTCACCCCCACTCGCCTCCCTTGCTGCCCCCCCACACACACCAGGACCTCCAGCTTTCCTGCCTCAATGCTGAGCAAAACCGGCATCTCCAGGCCTCCTTGAGCCGCTTGCACCGGGTGGTACAGGTAAGGCCTTCTAGCTGGGGCGCCCCCAACCTGTCGCGAGCCTGGGGGCCTGACCAGCCCCTCTCCCGCCAGCACGCCCGAGCGCAGCAGGTGCGTCTCCTGGTGGATGCTGAGTACACCTCGCTGAACCCCGCGCTCTCCCTGCTGGTGGAGGCCCTGGCCGCGCGCTGGAACAGCCCCGCGGAGGGGGGGCCCTGGGTGTGGAACACCTACCAGGCCTATCTCAAGGTGCGCGGGGCTGGGGAGGTGGGGGGGCCGCGGGCCAGGCTCCCAGCGCCCTAAGCTGCTGTGCTCTGCAGGACACACCCGAGAGGCTGAGGCGGGACGCAGAGGCCGCAGACAGGGCCGGCCTGGCCTTTGGGGTGAAGCTGGTCCGAGGGGCGTATCTGGACAAGGAAAGGGCCGTGGCCCGGCTCCAGGGGACCGCAGATCCCACGCAGCCTGACTACGAGGCTACCTGTCGGAGGTAGGACTGGGCCGCACTGGCCTCTGAGGCAGATGATAATTAACATCCGATCTTTAACTGGCAACCGCTTCGCGCCCTGCAGAGTGTCCTGTGTGGGAGGGTCTCTCCTCCCTGCTCCAGACTCCAGCTCTTGCACAGCAGCCTCCTCCCTGGGCAACCTGCTCCCTGCCCTGTCCCTCCTCCCCAGTCTGTCTTCCACCTCCAGCCAGAGGGAGCTTGTTAACACCTGAGTCACTCTTGTGCCTCCTCAGCGCAGAATCTTTCCATGGCTCCCATCATACCCTTAATAAACCCCAGATCCTTAGGGCCCCACGTGATCTTGTACCTGCTGTCGCTCCTCCCCCGACTCTCCTCACTCAGAGTGCTCCAGCCACAGATCCTCCCTGACGACCCCAGGGCCTTTGTGCTTCCTGTTCCCACTGCCTAGAATGTTTTTCCTCCACACAGCTGCTTGGCTCAATCCCTCGTCTCCTTAGGTCTTCACCTACTAGTATCTTCTCAGGAGACCTTCCCTGCCTGCCCTATCAAAAACTAGAACATTCTGGGATTCTGGGCCTCCCTGGTGGCGCAGTGGTTGAGTGCTGGGCTGTGAAGCTGCCCGCAGCCTCTGCAGCACCAGTTCGATCCCCGGGCACCAGCGAGGGTCCCACATGGCGCACAGACCTCTCCTGCCGTGCTCGCTGCGCCCCTCAGCAGTGTATTTCGTCAGTCTGCCTGTTCTGTGCCCCGTTCTGGCTCTGATGAATTCTCTCACCCTCCCGTGCTTCTGACTGTACCCAGTGCTTGTATAAATAAATAAATAAACAAACAAACAAATAAATAAATAAATAAATCTTAAAAAAAAAAAAACAACCTAGAACATTCTATCCCCACTCTCTTAGCACTTAGCAACTGAGGTTCTATATAGTTTCCTAATAGCTCACTGACTGTCTCCCCCACTAAAATGTGGGCTCAGGATGGCAAGAGTTTCTGATTTGTTCACTGTTGAGCCCCAAGAGCTGAAGATCATGCCCGTTACAGAATGGATGCTCGGTACAGATGTGCTGAATGAATAAACAACCCCAAGCAGTAGATACTATTATGACACCCACATTTGATAGGCAGAGACACAGAGAGGTGGAATCACTTACAAAAGGTCATGTGGCAAAGAAGTGGCAAGGTCAAGATAGGAGGCCAAGCAGACTGGCTCTAGAACAGGAATTCTTACTTCAAATCACCCTGTACTGGGGAAAAGATGTGGGTGAGCTCCTTGAACTCCCATCCCATGGCCTTGGGAAGAAGGAATTTATTCATTCAACACATACTCACTGACCACCTCTGGTGTCCTGCTCATGACTCCATGGGTGATGCAGGATGTATAAGTCAGCTTCCCGAGGGGCAGAGAAGGGTGGAGAACAGATCTGGGTTCAGCAGAGAATAAACCAGTGTTGTCTGTAAAGCCCAGAGGGTGTCCCCCGGCCTGCAGCAGGCTCTGCACACTTGTGTCAGTCTGTTTACCTTCAGAGTGGTGCCCAGAGAGAGTCCTCATTCTTTTTAAGAGCTGCATAGTACTCCACCATCCTCCATGTGTCCTCATTCATTTAGCCAGCTCCCCACTTATGGACATTTGGGTTGTTGCTAATTACACTCTGTGGACTCACTGTCCTGAGTGACCTTGAGTGTGAGCTTGTGCATCTGAACATGGCCTTTGCCTATGTGGCTGCCACTGTGCCGGAGGCTTTATGCGGACCTTTATCTCACACCATCCTCACAATGGGGTGAACTCTCATTGTTACAGAGGAAAATTGCTCAGAGAAAGGCTGCCCTGTGCAGTTAGCAGGGACCACCCAACCCCAGAGTCCCTGCCCTCAGGCACCCCCCACCTCAGGACGGGGATCCCAGGGCTGAGCCTCACTCACCAGGTGCCCTGTGCTGAACGCAGCATCTCCCTTCAGTTACAGCCGCTGTCTGGAGCTGATGCTGGCCCAGGTGTCTCGCCGAGGCCCCCTGTGCCACCTCATGGTGGCGTCCCACAATGAGGAATCAGTTCACCAGGCAACCAAGCGGTATGCGGTGGGGGTGGGAAACAGGTGCCTCCTCCCTCTCCAGGCATGCACGCAGGGTGGTGGACAGGGGTCAAGGAGGGCGTGTGGGGCTGGTGGGTTCAGAGGGTTGTGGGGGAACAGCCAAAATATTTAACCCCTGCTACATCTGTAGGTTGACCCAGCGGGCCAAGGCGTTGGCCCTTACTGTCTGGGGTACGGGGAGGTTCGAGGGTTCACTGGGGGGGCTCTGGAGGGGTTGGAGCAGCGGTTACTTATCACTGAGTTTGGATGGCGTATCCAGCACCGCCATGTGGGTGCCTGCGGGCCTCCTGCTGCTCTGCTTCCGGCCACGCCTGCGCTGATGTGGGGTCTTTTCTTTAGCATGTGGGAGCTGGGCATTCCCCTGGACGGGCCTGTGTGTTTTGGACAACTCCTGGGGATGTCTGACCACATCTCCCTGGCACTGGGTATGTCGATGCCCCCAGGCCTCATCCCCAGGCCTCAACCCCCTCCAGCCAGTCCCTCCTCCCCACACAGCCGGGGCCTGGCCGGGCTCCCATCCAGAGCGTGCGGCTGGTGCAGGCGCCAGACTATCTGGGGAGACTGTCAGATAGTCTTGGCGTCAGCGTCTGAGGCCCGGCCGGCCTTGCTGCTCTTGCTGTTTTGCTGGTTCCAGACCACGGCGTCTTGTTCTGTGCGCTGCTGGGTCTTGTGTCTTCAGGGTGCTGCGCCCAGGCCTGGGACCAGAAATGTGTGTTTTCTTCTGCCAGGTGCTAAGGTGGACAAAATCACCGTGGATCCACAGTGGGGGGCTTTCTTGAGTCACCCAGGGGTGCACCCTTAGGTTGCCCATGTGTTAGGGGCTAACCCAGGGCCAAGCTTCTTGGGGTGGAGTTCTGCTTTCTCGCCCAAGCTATGTGTGGTCAAGGCCGTTCCCTGCGAGTGGAGGTGGTGGGAGGGTTGACTCCTGTTAGCGCCTGCTCTGAGGGTGTCCATGCCGGGGCCCCAGTTTAATTTGGGGGAATTCTGCCTTATCTCACTCTGGGTAGGTGATGGGGCTTGATTCCTGTCCCTCTCAACTCTCTGAAGTCATCCAGTCGCAGCTCAGGGCAGAAGTGCTTCCTGTGTCTCGCAGCATTTTAGTAACTTTAAGAACATTTTCTTCAGTCCTTGCTTTGGGATTTTTAGGGCTTTTTTTTTTTTCTTTCTTTCTGTTTTTGTCCCGCTCGCTTTGTCTGTTGTCAATAATGGAAGTCTCTGTGCCGGGTGGGGCCCAGGGGAGCGTCTCCCCGAACAGGCGCCCACTTCCTGCCCATGGTCTCCCCCCAGGGCAGGCCGGCTACGCTGTGTACAAGTCCATTCCCTACGGCTCCCTGGAGGAGGTGATCCCCTACCTGATCCGGAGGGCCCAGGAGAACCGGAGTGTGCTGCGGGGAGCCCGCAGGGAACAGGAGCTGCTCAGCCAGGAACTTCGGCGGAGGCTGCTGGGGGGTGCCTAAGTGTCCCCCGGCAGCCCCCCCCCCGAGGTCGTGTGGTCAATAAAGGTCCTGAGCTACTGCCCAGACTGCTGCCCTCCGCCGATGCTACCTCCTTGGGGAAGGAGGCCCCCCCAAGCCGGCCCAAGCCCAGGGTCCGGGCTGCGCAACAGAGACCTCGTGATGACCCAGAGCTCGGCAAGGACTTGACAGGGACTTAAGTAAGCGCCCCAGACCCTGAGGTGGCCTGGACTGCAGGGCCCCAGCAGCGCTCACACGGGACCCCTCTGGGCTGCAGGGGTGCCCCGGTGACAGCAGACGCGGCCACGGGGCCGGGAGGGACAGGATGAAGAGCCAAGCCGCTGCCCCTCAGCAGGCATGTGCCAGGCCCCTCCCGAGCTAGGCTGAGGTCAGCTAGGCGGGGGACAGCAGGGACCAGACAAGCCGGGCTCCGTGTCAGGCTCTTCGCCCGGGAGGGCCAGGCAGCCTCTTCCCAGGCACAGCCCAGCACGGTCAGCGCTGTGATGGAGGCGCTGGGCAGAGCATGGTCAGTGCTGTAATGGGGGAGCTGTGCAGCGAATCGGGTGATGTTAGGAAAAGCCTGGGGGCTGTGGGAGACCAGAGTAGCCAGCGGGGGGTCGAGAGGGCTCCCCAAAGAATAAACAAGTGCGCAAGGAGAAGGGCATTCAAAGACAAGGACGCACGCATGAGCAGGAAAGTGTGAAACAGACTGGGGGTGGGTGACAGAGTTGCATGGCCGGGGCGAGGGGTGCAGTCTTAGGGGCCACCCTGCGGGGCTGGAACTGTACCCCAAGGCACAGCAGAGTCAGGAGCGTCTCCAACAGGGTCAGCTTTGGTTTTAGGGAGACCCCCCTGCTGCCATGTGGCCAGTAGACCAGAGTGGGGGGACTGACTGCAGGCCCAGGGGAAGCTGGGGCAGGGGCGATGTTGGGGAGCAGGGCTGGGGGGAGCTGTGGGCTGATGGGTTGGGTGGAGGGAGAGAGTCACAGGCTCTGGCTTGAAGAGGGGGGCAGTGGAGCCAATACAGTCTGGGGGAGACACTGGATCAGCGTGGGACCCACAGGTGTGAGGCTCCCTGGGGGCATCCAGCGGGAGGTGTCCAGGACCATGTGGGGCCCAGGCTGGGGCAGAGAAAGGAAACAGTCAGTGGGGTGGGAAGCATGAGACAGGCAAGCACGGGGATTCAAGCTGTTGCCAGGAACTTGCGGGTTCTTTGCAAGGGCGGGGATGGAGTCTTTCTCAGGCGCTTTGGTTAGACCAGACTTTAAGCATCTTCAAGCACCGTGCTCCGAAGGCCCCTCTAAGCCCGCGTCTCTCCCTGCTGTTAACAGCAAGTTAAGCAAAGACAGTTCGTTATCAGTGAGGGGCCTTCACTCCAGGCGGCTGGCAGCTTCTGGGGGTTTCATGGCATCCCAGCTCCCCAGCGCCTTCTCTCTGGGACGGCTCATCCCTGACAGAAACGGCCCCACCTCCCTCCCGGCACCCCTGCACTGGGAAGGTGACTCGGTGCAAGCGGGTCACGGGGTAGACACGTGTGTGGGTGCAGGTGCCTCAGCTCGGAAGGTGCCCTTCTCGGCCCTGCCCAGCCCCTATCACTATCGTTTTCCCCACTGCTAGTTTTAAGCCCTTATTTCTAGAGGCTTGTTTTAGACAAAAGATGCCACCAGCTTCTGCGTGCGCAGCAGTTGCAGTCATCAGCCGGCCCGTTCCTTTCCTAAGTATAAATGTACAGAAAGAAACAAATACAGGAGCATGTTGTAGACAACAACACGCAGTTACACTGAAGAAAAGAAAAAGCAAGGGTCCTTTCCTTTTTTTCTTTTTAAGATGTATTTATTTATGCATATAAGAACTGGGGTACAGGCCAGAGGAGCAGGGGAAGGGGGTGAGAGGATTCAGCAGAGACAGAGTGGGGAGCAGAACAGGCAGACTGACGAAATACACTGCTGAGGGGAGCAGCGGGCGAGACAAGAGAGGTCTGCTGTGCCATGTGGGTAGCTCCCTGGCGGGGGATGGAACTGTGCTGCAGAGGCTATGGGTGGCTTCATAGTGCTGAGACTTAACCCCTTGCGCCACCACGGAGGTCCCTCCTTCCTTTTTTTAATAGTAAACCCACCCTTTTGGATATAAAAAAAGTCTAGAAAAGCCTTCTGCAGTCTAGCAACACTTACCAGCCAGGAGGTGAAATAGGACAGATCAGTGCCCAGAAGCTCTTCCCTCCTTTATCTCTGGGACAACAGAATGAGTGGTCTCAACTTTCTGTTCAATGAGTTGAGTATTGTTAGTCAAATTAAAACCACACAGTCCTTTAAACTCCTCAAGGCAGGGCCTCCCTGGTGGCACAAGGGGTTAAGTGTCAGCACTATGAAGCTATCTGCAGCCGCTGCAGCACAGAGTTCGATCCCTGGCCAGCGGGGTGACCCACATGGCGCAGCAGACCTCTCCTGTCTCGCCCGCTGCTCCCCTCGGCAGTGTATTTCAGTCAGTCTGCCTGTTCTGCTCCCCATTCTGTCTCTGGTGAATCCTCCCGCACCCCTGGACTGTATCCCAGCTCTTGTATGCATAAATAAACCTTTTAAAAATAATAAACTCCTCAGGCACACGGCCGCCTGAGCAGCAGATGCGCCTGGGCAGCTTGATTCCCCAGCCTCGCTTTCCTCAAATGGCCCAATTCCTGTCCGCTGGCACCAGTGCCCTTGTTATAGGACAGGGAGAGGGGCAGCCCAAGCCCCGCAAACCTGCCTATTCTACATGGGTTCTGCCATCCGCCGCATCAACACAAAACATAGGAGACTTTAATGGGAAGGAACTTTAATTAAACTAGGAAACAATACAGGTAAGGCAAAGAGTCTAGTTTCTAAATGAAGCACCCAAAGTTACCCATCCCCTCGTGGGTAAAAGTCCATCCAAATGGGATTGGCCCAGAACAAGGCCCCAAAGCCTGCCCCAAGTCTAAAGCATCTTCCAGTGGGGACCCACAGAAAAGGGTCACAAACAACCAGACAAGCCCGGAAGGAAAAGAGCAAAATCAGCATCAAGATAAAAGCTGCCATGGTCACCTCCCCACGGGTCTCACCCACATCTGTGAAGAGACTGAGGAAGGAAGGAAGCAGGATGGAGCCAGGAGACCTGGAGGAGGCGCATGGAGCCTAGAGACACGTGAAGAAACTGCGCTTGTCTTTTGGTCGTGGACTGGGTGACACAGATGTGGGTGAGACCCGTGGGAGGTGACCATGGCAGCTTTTATCTTGGTGTTGATTTTGCTCTTTTCCTTCCGGGCTTGTCCAGTTGTTTGTGACCCTTTTCTGTGGGTCCCCACTGGAAGATGCTTTAGACTTGTGGCAGGCTTTGGGGTCTTGCTCTGGGCCAATCCCATATGGATGGACTTTTACCCACGAGGGGACGGGTAACTTTGGGTGCTTCATGTAGAAACTAGACTCTGCCTTTCCTGTATTGTTTCCTAGTTGTATTAAAGTTCCTTCCCATTAAAGTCTCCTATGTTTTGTGTTGATGCGGCGGATGGCAGAACCCATTTAGAATAGGCAGGTTTGCGGGGCTTGGGCTGACCCTCTCCCTGTCCTATAACACCCTGAGAAGCGGCATTTAGTGATTTTACTGTCGGGCAAGCCAGGTGCTCTGCCTCCAGTCTAAGAGTCCCACGTAACTGGCGCCCCACAAAACACGCAGTGACGTATTCTATGCGGCTCCCCAGACATGCGTGTCCCCGCAGTTTGGTGAGAGGGAAATTTCCCTTTTTTCTTTCACTTCCTGAGTTAAGTGGGTCTTTTGAGGCATAACCGAGGTGTTTCCCGGTGCTGCAGGGCGCCCGGCGCTATTTGCAGAAACAAAAGAGTAAGCCACCTTATTACATAACAAAAACCACCTGCAGGTAATTTGAAATGGGCCACAGCAAGTCACCCAAGAGGGAGGCTTGCAAATCGTGTTGTCACCTTCAGGCAGATCTAAGCACTTTTTCATGCATCCTGTGCAGACCACACATTCTTGAGCAGGTGAGACATTTGCCAGCTTTAACAAACATGTCTTCTTCCTTTTGGCTGTAAAGGATCCCCCCATTCATAGGGGGAGGAACAAGCCCTGGGCTCTTTTTTCAATAAAGACTGATTTATTTATGTATATAAGAGCTGGGGTACAGGCCAGAGGTGTGGGGGGTGGGGGTGGAGAGGACTCACCAGAGACAGAGTGGGAAGTAGAACAGGTGGATTCACTGAAATCCACTGCTGAGGGAGCAGCAGGTGAGACAGGAGAGGTCTGCTGCGCCACGTGGGTAGCTCCCTGGCCGGGGATCGAACTCTTGCTGCAAAGGCTGCGGATAGCTTCATAGTGCTGTGCTTAACCACGTGGGCCACCAGGGAGCCCCTAAGTGGTCAGCCTAATGGCTGGTTCCCATAGCAACCTTATCACTTCCCTTTATTCAAGCCTCCTAAACCTTCCTGCTGGGCAGAGTCCCAGCTTCATTTATAACCTTATTCGATGATACCCTGACACAGGCTCCTGATTGCGCATGCGTGGTGCCCTCATTAGGATGCTCCCTAATGGCTAATTGATTCCACCTGCCCCTCGGACTAAAGCACTTTTTGGTCCCTGGCCCTGACCTCCCTCCTTAACAACCTTGGCTCCCCTGTGCTCGCAAGGATCTCCTACACTGTGTGGACACTGCAGCCTAGAGATCCTTGCGAGCACTAGGGAGCCAAGTTTGCTGAGGAGGGAGGTCAGGACCAGTGACCAAAAATTTCTTTTGTCTGAGGGGCAGGTGGAATCAATCAGTCCATTAAAGACCGTAATAATAAGAGCACGACGCAGGCACAATCAGGAGCATGCGCTTTGGAGTCAGACCCACTATCAGGGGGTCACTGACTGATAATGACTTACTGAGTGACCCCAGACACCCCACTTAACCTCCCTGAGCCCCATCTCTGAATCTGTAAAGCTGGTTCTCAAGTCAGCGGCTCTCATGTCTCAGGGAGCCTCAGAATCACCTGGGGGCGTCGTAGAACACAGGCTGGGGCTGCCCATGACCAGAATCTGAGAACCAGTCGGGCTGAGGCAGGGCCTGAGAATCTGCATTTCTGACACGTTCCCGGAGGGTGTGGGCGCTGCTGGCCCGGGCCCACTATGAGTGCTGGTGCTTTGAAGGACTGGCCTTTGACCCTCCAGCTGTGCTCCGCCGGAGAAGGGGAGAAGCCTCCGGGCTCCCAGGGCCCGTCCTCCTGGCTTCTAGGCCGTACTTGGGGTACGCGGGTCCCCGACTTCCTTTCCAGGCAGCCTGAGGCCAGTGTTCAGGGCTGCGTGGGGTCTGTTCACAGAGCAGAGAAAGCAGGAGGGTGAGTGGGATCTCCAGGCCGCAGTTCCGCACACTGTGTGAGATCCTGGCGAGCACCAGGGAGCCAAGGTTGTTAAGGAGGGAGGTCAGGGCCAGCGACCAAAAAAGTTCTTTCGTCCGAGGGGCAGGTGGAATCAATCAGTCCATTAGGGACCTTCCGATGAGGGCACGACGCATGCGCAGTTAGGATGGCCTTGGGAGTCGGAAGTTCCTACCTGGCACCTTTGGGAAGGCGCATCTCTGACAGAAACGGCCCCGCCCCTCCCTCAGGCGCCCCTGGCCCGGGAAGGTGACTCGGAGGAAGCAGGTCACAGGCCAGACAATGAGTTTGGGTGCAGATGCCTCAACTCTGCGGGTGCCCTGCACACCCCCTCCAGGTGGGGTAACCTCTAGGGGGCAACCATAGCTCTGGAGCAGAGGTCACCATCTCTTCTTTCAGGTCACCTCAGGGCCATAGGGCGCCTCTCGGGGGAGGGAGGCTGCTGTGCAAGTGCGAAGGCAGCCGGTGGCCGCCAGCACGCGCGCGGAGGCCTCCAGGCACCAGGGCCCGAGCGCCCAGGCCACACGCTGATGCGTCCCTCACGCGCCGATCGCGTTCCGATCACGTATCCACCCGGGGCGGTCACTATCGGAGCCCAACGGTAGGCCCAAGCCTCCAGGACTGGGGTCTGGGCCTTAGAACCTTCCGAGACCTCACTAGCCCTCAGCTCTCCCCTAGACCCCTCCCCCAGCCTGAAGACCCGCCCTCACACGCCCAACCCCCCCACCCATACTGTCCCTTTCTCCCCACCTCAGAGCCCACCCAATACTCAGAACCTCCCCGGGAGGCTCAAGGATCCAGGCCTCAGACCTTTTCCTTCGTGTAGTCCCTTCCCCTAACCTGTAGACCCTGGGCTCCCCCCCACCCTGACCCCCCCCCCAGCCAACTTCCCCAAACCTCAGTAAGAGCCCTCAGTCCTCAGACTCTCCTTGCCAGACTCCCTGCAGCTTTGAGTCCCCACCCCAGTCCCTGTGCTCAGGCCTGGTTCCCAGTCCTCTGACCCACCCCGGGATTGTCCTCCTCTGGTCCCCCAACTCAGCCCTAAGACCCAGGTGCCTCTCAACTCTTAACCCTCAGGTCTTCACCAGCCTATAGGTTGTCTTCAGACCTTCTTCCATAAACCCCCAGACTCCTTCCTGGGTTCAGAGTCTATCCCTGATGCCCTTACACCCCAACTCAAGGAGTGCCTGCCCCCGATTTCCTTAGACCCCTTTCACCTCTCAGAATCCCTTAGACACCCCCCACCCCGACTCCAGTATGAGTAGCTCTTCCAGAAACCACACCTTTACCTTTTCTCAATCAGACACCTCCCTCCAAATCAGACCCCCACTGATCCCCTTCCTTCCATGGGTCCCCTGCTCACTACTCAGAGCCAGTTGTGTCTTTACTGCCTCCAGAGTCCTTCACTTCTTCCTGCCCACGAGACCCTCTAGCTGGTCCCCACCCAGGACCTAACTGAGGTGGACCACAGATGCCCTCCCTGTCCTCTCGCTTCCCTGTGGAGCTGGGCTCCGTTGGGGACCCAGAAGGCCAGGTGGGCCGCCTGCATCGCCTGGCTGTGTCTGGGGGCCCAGGCTGGGCCCTCACCCGGCTCCTGCAGAGAGGTGAGGATCCGGCTGCTGCAGCTGCCTGAGGGGGCAAGATCCAGGAGTGGAATGCAGGGTGTGACTTGAGTTGGCGCATCAAGTGTGTGCCAGGCACCTACTGTCTGCCAGACACTGTATGATGAGGACCTTTGGGGGTGAACATGACCTGGATCACCGTGAATCAGGGTGTATGGCCTGATCAGGGAAAGTATGGCCTTTGGGAGGGGGTGATATTTGAGTCCCATAGTATAAGATCCAATCATGTGACAATAAGGGTAAGAGCACTTCAAATGATGGAGGAGCTAGTGCAAAGGCCCTGAAGGCAAAGCAGACTGGGTTTGTGTAAGTAGCTGCAGGAGCAAAGGGACTTGGGCCTAGGACTGAAGCTGAAGGGAGGCAGCAAGTGCAAAGCACCTCAAAAGGAGTGAATTTTGTTCTGTGATGGGAAAAACAGAGGCATTGCAGGCAGGAAATTAACCAATTTAAATGTTCTTTTTCATTGGTATTTGCAAATTGCCTACCTGACCACTTTCTAACTTGCTTAACAGCTAATTGTTGATTCTTTTACATTTTTTGGTTATCTAAAGATGGTGACAATTTAGTCTCACCTTCAACCTTTACTTTCTAGTTTTTTTTTTTTTCAAGATCGATCTATTTATGCATACAAGAACTGGGGTACAGACCAGAGGTGTGGGGGTGGAGGTGAGAGGATTCACCAGAGAGAGAGTGGGGAACAGAACAGGCAGACTGACCAGAGTACACTGCTGAGGGGAGCAGCGGGCAAGTCAGGAGAGGTCTGCTGTGCCATGTGGGTAGCTCCCTGCCTGGGGATGGAACTCGTGCTGCAGTGGCTGCAGACAGCTTCATAGGCTGCGCCCTAACTCCTTGCAAGGTGTCCTACCTGGGTTTCTGCATTTGTCTTGCCTGCACAGGGATGCCTGCACAGGATGGGCCACTAGGGAGGCCCCTACATTCAAGTTTCTTAATTGAAATTCTTCATTTCTTGGAAGATGTTGACCAGAACTGCCCAACTTTCCTGAGTTTGTTTCTGCATTCAGTATCTTGCTTGCTATTGGGTTATTGGTTTTTAACTTTTATCAAGTGAGGAATTTCCATCTATTCTTAGTTTTTTAGGGGATTTTTTCCCCCTAATAACTAGGTATTGAAATTTATCAAGTGCTTTTTTTTCTGCATCTACTGAGTTAAATGTGTTGTCTCTTAATCCATAAATGTATTTTATTATGTTGCTAGATTTTCTTATGTTGACTTATCCTTACTTTCTGGGAATAAATTGGGTTACCTTTTTTGCTTTATTTAGGGGTTTTGCATATATGATCATACATACTGATAAATTGTAAAGTTTCTGTCTATGATCACGGAACTGATGTAAAATTTCATTTGCTGGCTCTGAACCCCCTCATTTGGTTATGGAATTAAGCTCATGTGCTAGCCTTATTAAATGAGCCCCGCCTTCCCTCTTTCTTTTTTAATTTGTACTTTAAACATTTTTTGATTTTTAATTTTTTTGCCCTCTTTTTCTATTTTTGGAACAACTTGTGTAAGATTGTCTATACATCAAATGATCATAACGATTGCATTATAAAATGCATTGTCATAAGACCATCCCTGTGCAGGCAAGACAAATGCAGAAACCCAGGTAGGACACCTTGCAAAAGATGGTGGGCTGATGAGTCACAGAGGATGCATTAAGTGTGCCACTCAGAGTTCTTGGTTTGTGGCAGAGCCCAACCTGGTGTGGACCAAGCACATAATTGATTAGCCATATCTGCCAAAAACACAGGACAGCTGACACCAAGCATTTGCCCCCTGGGGATATGGGATAGGGCCTGGAGGAAGAGGGAACTTGGGGAGGGTGGTGTCAGCAGAAGTGGGAGGTAAGCAGTGGCCTGGATGAGTGCGGAGAAACAGGACTTGGGGGCCTCCCTGGTGGCACAAGGGGTTAAGATGCAACCTGTGAGGCTGTCCGCAGCCTCTGCAGCACGAGTTCAATCCCCGGCCAGGGAGTTACCCACATGGCGCAGCAGACTTCTCCTGTCTCGCCCCCTGCTCCTCTCAGCAGTGTATTTCAGTAGATCCACCTGCTCAGCTCCCCACTCTATCTCTGGTGAATCCTCTCACCCCCCACACCTCTGGCCTGTACCCCAGTTCTTGTATGCAGAAATAAATAAATCTTAAAAAAAAAAGAAGAAACAGGTCTTGGGAGGGTTGGGAGGGGTCTGAACGGGGTGACAGGGGTCAGGGTTGACATGGGCGGAGCCCAGCTGCTCCCTGGGTTCGGCATCTTAGATCCTGTGTTCAAAAATAAACGTGCGCAAATTCCCAGGGAGTTTGCTGCTTTTGGAGAAGTGGATGGTGGCCACATGGGATCTACACACAAACTCACTTAGAGCCGGGTGGAGGCACCTACAAGCCAGTCTCCATGGTGTCCACTCTCCCCTGGGCCCCGGGGGGAGCTCTGTGTGGCTTGGACACCTCTGGGGCGGGGACGGCTGTAATGTAGCAGGAAGTGACCCTGGAAGTGACCACCCCCGGAGGTGACCAGCTCAACTGCAGATTCCGAGGCAGAGTCCTCAGATGCTGCTGGGGGCGGGGTGGGGGGCGTGTTCGGGACAGAGATGGCCCAGGAACGGTCATGGACCGAGGAGGGCCTGTGGAAGCTGGCAACGGGCTCGGATTTTGCCTGGCAGCCCCCGGGAGCTGGGGCAGGGACCGTCCTAAGCTCGCTGCCCCTCAGTCCCGCAGGTGGATGGTGAGAACTCTGCTGGGCAGACGGGGCTCTTCCTCTCGGCGCTGCTGGGCCACAGCTCTGCCGTGCGGTGCCTGCTGGCCTTCGGGGCCAACCCCAACCAGTGAGTGGACAGTGGTGATGTCCCCACTCCCGGGGCCCTGTGTCTGAGCCTGGAGAACCAGGACTCCTCCAGGGGCCTCTCTCCCTCCCAGCTGAGACCCGCCCTTCCCCGGCACACCCTTGTCCTCCACCTTGTCTCGGGGACCCTCTCCTCTCAAAGACCCCACTGTGTCCCCAGGCGACCCCTCCCCACCTGACACCCCCCTCCCAGGTTCGCAGTGACTCTTCTCACCCGGCAGCGTCTTGTCCCTGCTCTCTTGCTTTCTGATCCTTGCCCGTCCTCACCGTTCCCCGCAGCCGCTGCCTCGACGGCAGCACGCCTGTGCACGCAGGCGCCTTCTCGGGCCACAGCCTGGTCCTGCTGCACCTGCTGCGGGCCGGGGGTGACCTGCGACTGCGCGACCAGCAGGGTCGCACCCCTCGAGACTGGGCGGAGCAGGGCCCGGCTAAGCAGAGCTGGGAGGTGAGAAGGGCCTGTGTGGGCGGGGCCTCAGGGCCGGCACCCCGACCCTGCCTCACCCACCTGCCCTGCCACGCCCAGGTGCTGAAGCTGTTGCAGCTCTGCCGTACCCGCATATCAGCTCTGATGCAGGGAGGGGAGCTGGCACCCACTGCGACCCTGGGCCAGTGGCAGGGCTGCTCTGGACGCGGCCTGCGTGGCTCCCTGCGCTCCCTGCGGCTGGCGCGGGCGGACAGGTAACCGTCCACACCCTGAAGCTCCCCCATGCCCCACTCCCAGCTCCCCCAGACTTACCTTGGGCTGCCCTTTACCCCAGGGCACTGAGGCCAGAACAGATCAGGAGATCCCCCCAGATCCCAGCCTTGGGGATCGGCTGGGTAAGTGGGAGAGGGTGGGGGAGGGTGGGCACCCTGTCCTCTTGGTCCCTCATCACCCCACTCCCCGTCCCCAGCTGAGCAGCCTGTGGCCACTCGGGCTGGTAACAGGCGTACCCCTCGCGGACCCCAAGGAGCTGCAGCCAGCCCAGGGCGAGCCAGACCGCACCTACGAGAGCAGCTCCCACACCCTCATGGCCAAGTGAGAGACCCCACCCCGGCTTCTGCCCCGCTGTCCAGAGATCTGGGGACAGGGCAGGCCTCTTTCCCGCGCAAGGAAAGCCCACTCGCTCAGACCTGCCCCCTTCCCCCATCCCTGCTCTCAGCCTCCTGTGGCGGGGCCACGCGGTGACAGTGCGCCAGCTGAGGGCCCCCGGGACCCCGCCGGATGTGCTGCTGGCCGACCTCCAGCACTGCAGGTGCCCGCCCCAGACCTCCTCGGCCTCCTGCCTGCCCTCCCGAGCCAAGCGCATCAGAAATGGGCCTGGGAGAGTAGCCACGGCGTGGGCCCTGCTCCAGGAGTGGCCGTCCCCAGCGCCACCGGGAAGCGGGTTCCCCATTCCGTGTGCTGTGTCTTAGAGGCCTCGGGGAGGAGGTGGGTGTAGGGAGGCAGACCATGGCTGGGCACAAACTGGGTGCCAGGCTGTGTACCCACGGCCTGGTTCCCTGTCTGGCACTGTGCTGATCGTCAGCCCCTGGCACAGGGTCATCTGCGCCTGTGCTGGCTGGGGCCTCCTCATAAATGGCCCGCTCTCCTCTTGCCCAGCACCCTGCAGCACCCCAACCTGTTGCTGCTCATGGCTTTGAGCCCCTCGGTGGACCTGTTGGGGCTGTGCCTTCTCTTTGAGCCTGTGTGGCTGGGCTCCCTGCACGCAGTGCTGCACTCCCGGGGACCGAGCGAGGGGGGCGCCAGCGCCATGCCAGGCCTTCAGCCTGGCCGCCTGCTGCTGCAGGTGCTGGACGCCCTGCTGTTCCTGCAGGCCCGCCAGCGTGCTCACGGGGGCCTTAGCTCCCATGCTGTGCAGCTGGTGCGTCCAGGCCTGGCCAAGGTGGGCAACCTGGAGCATGGGCGCCCACTGCACCAGCGCTGGCTGTGGTCCAGGTGAGTGCCTGCCTCGCCTGCCTGCCCCGTGTCCCATCGGCAGTCACTGACTGGCCTCTTGGCCTCCACAGGTCACAACAAAGCTACACTTGGGGCACTCTCGGCCCAGGGCTGCCCCCGCCTCCTGAACTGTACCCATGGTTACCTCTTGAGCTCATCTGTGGGGACACACCTGCCACCACCTCAGACCTCTACAGCTTCTGCCTCCTGGCCCAGGAGGTGTTCACTGGTCAGTGAGTGAGCCTTTGCCCTGCCCCACAGAGGCACCCCGCCCTCCCGCCCAGGCCCTGCCATCATGCTTCCTCGCAGGAGAACTTCCCTGGGCCGGGAGAAAGGGGCCTGAGGTGAAGGCTAAACTGGAAGCAGGTGAGAGCCCGGTCTTGGACCCCCTGGTGCCAGCCCCCTATCAGGCCCTGGTTCGGGCCGGGCTGGGCCTAGGGCCTGCCGACCGCTGGGGCAGCCTGCAGAGTACACGATACCTTCTGCGGGAGGCCCTGGCCCAGGTACAGAACAGGTTGGCAGGGGTGGGTGGTGGCCGTGGAACCTCAGGCAGGGCCCACAGCCCCACACCCAGTCTCCTCTCCACAGGCCTCAGCTCCTGAGGTGAGCTCCGCTATGGATCGCACCACACTGTGTTCTGTACCCCAGGGCTCCCTGCCGGGTTACAGGGCAAGGAGTAGGTGGTAGCAGGTGTTGGGTGCAGCCCAGCTATGGCCCCCCCATTCCAACCAACTGGCCTGCCCCCCCAGAGACACTGTCCTGTGAGTGGCTCCCAGAGCCAAAACTACACCCCAGCCTATGCCCCTGTGCTGTCCCTAAGCCCTCCACCTACCCACCCCCCATCCCAGGTAGGAGCAGGCCGGGCTGCAGAGCACCAAGGGAGTTTGGGGTTCTCGGGGAACCCGTCAGCTCTCTGCCATCACTCTCTGCAGGCCCTGGAGGCGCTTGAGGTCGTGGGCCACAGCGGAGTCTGGAGGGGCGCGGCATGGGACTCGGGCAGCAGCCTGACTCTGGGCAGCAGCCCCAGCCCTGGCCTCGGCCTGGACAGCAGCCCCACAGCCGGGATCAACCTGCACTGCTGCCTGGAGCCCGGCTTAACAGTATGGATGCCCCAGGCCTGTGTGACCACCCAGTCAATAACCTGTGACGCTCCATCCCAGCTTCCCCAGCTGCCTCTCTGACCGAAGACCCCCAAGCTGTCTCCTCACTGCGACCCTGCCCATCCTGCTTCCCCCAGACCCCTGCCCTGCACGCCTGCCTTTAGGACTCGGCCTCTGTGCTGGGGACCCAGGGCTCTGTGCGGCAGTTAGAGGAGGTCCCAGCTAAGACGCACCAAGCCCTGCAGGGGCTGCCCTGCAGGACCCCCAGCGGTGTGAACCCACCCCTGCTTGCTGCCCCACAGGGAGGCTTCCCACCCCCTGGTGCTAGAAGGAAAGGCGCCAGACCAGGTGAAGCAGAGTGCCCTGAGCCCATCCCTGCCCCGTCCTACCCTCCCAGGCCCAGCCTGAGCTCCATGGCCACTGGTGGCAGCTCGTCTTTTTTCCTGCAGGCGCCCAGCACTGAACTGATCAGAGGAAGTCTCTTCTCCAGCCTGCAGAAGTGAAAAATGGGGCCCTGGTGGGATGGAGGCGGGGGCTTCTGGGGCCCTTCCTCATTCCTGAGGTGTAGCCCTGGGTCTGTCCTGACCCCGTCTCCACCCCCCCAGGATGGATCTGCTGGAGGAGATCCTAGCAGAGCTGCGAGGCGGGGGCCAGCTCGCAGACAGGCCCAGGCCTGACCCCACCCTTGATACGGATTCTTAGGACACTCATGGCCCCCTCTCTGCAGATCACCCCTCCCAGGCCCCAGGAATGACTCCCCCGCTTGGCACCCGCTGATGTGACAAAAAAAATGCTAAAGCGCCCATCTGTGTCTGCCTCTGGTCACTGAGCCTGGCCCCAGCATGACACCTGCAGCCACATTCTCACCATTTTTATTCATTAATTTTGTCAGATGGTTTAGTGGGGTGTGTGGGGGGAGACTGGCAGGTGCTGTGCCCCTCACCCCCTGTGCACAGATCAAGACATGCTGGGGGCTCCTGGAGGGAGCGGGAGGACAGCTTCAGCCCAGCCCTCGGGTTTGTGCGAGAGCCCCCAGGATGGAGGATGGCAGGGGCGTGGGCGCACCCTTCAGCCCAGGGTAGGGGAGCTATGACAACAGGTTAGGGACCCACATCAGAAGCAAGTTACAAAGTTAGAAACCTGGGCAGGGGGTCAGGAGCTCGAGAAAATACAAAACAAGGGTTTGGGCTGGACCAAGATCATGAGGGGCAGGGAAGGAGGAAGGTCTCTCCCAGCTCTGACTTAGCAGTAGCTTCGGGTCTGGCCCTCAGAGTGGAGGGACCAGCTGGGAGTGGGGTAAGGAGGTGGGGGACCAGCCCCCTCCCTTCCCTGCCCCCTATTCCTGTATAAGGACCCTCGGTGATGCTCACCCCCCCTCCCATAGGCTGGTGGGGCTGCCCTGTAGAGCAGGAGAGGCTCAGAAGGGCCCCAGGGCTCATGCATCCTACGAGGGGTGTGGGGACCCCAGGGGGCCCGCTGCTTCAGAGGGAGGCGGGGGGCCGGGGGGCCGGGATCTGAACGGCTTCTGGGGTGGGCAGGTGGAGAAGAGGAGCAGGAAGAGTCAGGTGAGGGACCCCTGGGACCGAGCGCTAGGTTGACATAGAGGGGTTCAGGCCGAGTTGGGCGCCGGACAGAGTGCTGGGGGGCCGAGTAGCCAAGGTGGTCGTGGGGAAAGCAGGAAGGGGGAGGGGGATAGCTGAGCAGGAAGTCGGGGGACCTGTGAAGTGGGGGCGACTGGCCAAGCATGCCATATGAGGCATTGAGCCTGTCAGGGGGCATGGAGCGAAAAGGACTCCAGGACCGGGTAGGGCCGGAGTAGGGGGGCCCCTCACCTGCCTCGATCTCATAGTACAGATTTTCTCCCCTGTCGAGTGGTGCAGGGGGACCCAGGGGGCTTCT